ATTATTTTTTAAAAAGAATACTTACAATGATAGTACTATTTTTCTGTTGCCTCTCAGGAGCAGAGAGATGACCAACTTACCCTCTTCAGCCTCTGGCACATTTACCATTGTTCTGTGAAGTGCCCTATCTCATTTTGTTAGCCTATTTGTTTTTAATTCTCATCCTCACTCCCCGACCCCACTTCCCACTCTTGTTTTTCTTCTCATTCACAACAAAAGCAACTATTCCAAGGTGTTTTATGTCACATAATTTTTTTTTATTTGTTAATAGTTTTGTGTGTTTCCTTGTAAAGCATGTTAAGCTGTTTTGGATGCAGAGCAGGCTTTATGTCTCCAAGCACTAGATTCTTTCCAGAGGATAAGGGGGGAATGGGTATCAAGACATTATGGACTCCAAAAGGAGCTTGAGATTTCAGCTTCAAGGACTAAGAACATCTCTGTTTTTCCTTCTGAAAAGACAAGAGCTCAGGGCCTGCCCCGTAGTGACTATGGCTGTCAGTCCCAAGTGACTGGTCACTGCTTTGGAAAGCACCAGGAAGAAGCAGGCTTGATAAGGATTGATCCTGCTTGTTGAGCAATAGGACTGATGTCACCCTCATTGGGAACAGGTCATGCCTTATTAGCAAGGAGATAGAAGAGGTAACTCAGGGTCATTTCCAGGCTTACAGAATCTAGATTTTCCTAAAAGCAAGGCTCAAGAGGACTCCTCTATACACAAAATTAACTCAAAATGGATCGTAGACTGACATGTAAGACCTAAAGCTGTAAACCTCCTAAAATAAAACACAGGAGCACATTTTCATGATTTTATTTTAGGCAGTGATTTCTTAAATATGACACTAGAAGGACAAGCAATAGAGAAAAAATAAATTGGACTTTACCAAAATTTAAAACTTTTATTCTCAAAGAAAGGTAGAAAGACAACCCACAGAATGTAAGAAAATATTTGCAAATCCTACTTCTGATAAGAGACCTGAATCCAGAAGGTATAAGTAACTCTAACAACTTAATAATAAAAAAGTCCAAATAACCCAATTTAAAAATTCAAAATCCAAAGGATTTGAGAATACATTTTCTGAAGCAGATATACAAATTGCTAGTAAGTACACAAAAAGATGCTCAATATCATTAGCCATCATAGACAAGCAAGTCAAAACCACAAAGAGACACCACTTCACACCCACTAGGAGGAGTATAATAAAAAAGACATATAATAACTAGGGTTGGCAAAGATATAGAGAGATTGGGAGCTTCATGTACTGCTGGAGGGAATGTAAAATGGTACAGCCACTTTGAACAACAATCAGGCAGTTCCTTAGTGATGAAACATAGAATTATCATATGGCCCAGCAATTTCACTCCTGGATATATACCCAAGAGAAATGGAAGCATATGTCCATGCAAAGACCTGAACACAAATGTCCATAGCAGCATTATTTATGAGAGCCATTAATTGGAAACAACACAAATGTCCAGCAACTGATGCACAGATAAATAAACTATGGTCTAGCCATACAATGGAATATTATTCAGTAAGAAAAATAAAATGCTACAACACATAGGCCCCTTAAAAGATTATGCTAAGTGATAAAAGCCCATTACAAAAGACCACATGTTGTATGATCCCATGTATATGAAATTTCCAAAATAGGCAAATCTGTAATGACAGAAAGTAGCTTAGTGGTTGCCTAGGGCTAGAAGAGTGGGAAGCTTAAGGGGTGATGGGTATTAGGTACCAGATTTCTTTTGTGAGTGATAAAAATGTTCTAAAATTGCTTGCTGTGAATCAGTTCGCATATCCGCAACTCTGAATATGCTAAAAGCCATTGAATTGTACACTTTAAATGAGCTAACTTTATGCTACGTGAATTTTACTTCAATAAAACTCTTAAAAAAGAAGTCTCTTCCCAGGATGGACCGTAGAACACCTAAAAGTGGCCAGTATTTTTAAAAATAACTTTATTAAAAGCTAAGTATGCCACTAAAAAAATGAAAGTCAAAGAACCCCTGATATTAAATGGCATGTTTCCACTCACTTTCTGCTTCGGAGATCAAGTCACCATAGCAGACAGGGTTCTGGCAATGGCATGAGCCCTTCTTCATGCTAAGAGAGAGGGAAGAACAGACAGATGAAAACAACATCAGGAGATCTGGTCATTATTTGGTTTTGATTTCAGAATCTAGATAAAGGCCGTGTCAGAGAAACTTCCACCTCAATACTAACGCCATTCCCACCTTTCCCTATAATGAATGGCCTGTGGACCCAGGTGGCCGACAGAAATATCAGAGACCTGAGATATGACCACAATTTATTGCTCTACATAAGCAGGTTCCATCTGACCATGTGAAGATAGTCTGGAGAAGCTTTCCTTTTAGAAATTCTTAACTGCTGTGCTGACTAGGGCACTGTCTAATTTCATAAAATTCCACCAGTCAGGCGGCCCACTAATGGGTGCCCAGGTATTCTCTGTGATAGAGTTGGATTTTGAGACCCTGAACCTCTATGATTCTATATCACTAATTATATGGTAATATTCTAACTACAAACTCACAAAAATTAAATTCTTCAATTTTAATAAGAAATAGATTGCAAAGGAATACACTGATATCAAAGACTCATCTTTATAAAGCGAGTTTCAAGCAATTTTATATGGTCAACATACATTTAGTACAATTAGGGTAAAATAAAAAACCTAGATTATAATCTAGAGATCCAAGTTCTTTCCCTACCTCTGCCCTTGTCATGAAAACAAAACAAAGCAAAATAATAGAAAATAAAATCAAAATGCCTTAGGCTGGCTAGGTGCCAGTTTCTCTCTGTGTAAAATGAGAATATTATTTGGTCTCTAAGATCTTCTCTATGTCTGAAACGTTATCAATTTCCTGTTCCAACATCTCTGGACAAAGAGAATCTAGTCCAATATTCATGGCCTTCTATACTAGCTAGAGATTCAATGTCATGTGTACCACACTAAGTGCCAAAATTAAATCAAAGGTTTAATTAGCCTGGAAGCTCTGTCCCTGGCCTGGGCACAGAAAACTGTGTCTCTCCAATCCCCCTGTCTCCCTTCTCCCCAAGTCCTCTCCAGGGACTCCTGTTGGCTGGCATCATCACAGATGGCCAGATACATCAAATAGGTTCTCAGCTTCCTGCCACTGCCCTTTCACTGGTGCTGCCCTCTCCAGTTATGCAAATTCTGTCCATCACCCAAGAGCCAGCTCCAGCCTCACCCTTAGGGAACCCTTGAGACCCCCATTGGACCACTACAGTCTGTGTAGACCCCACACTGGGCAGTTTACATGCACTCGTTATTAATTGTGACATGTAATTATGCCCCTCTCTTCTGGAAGCTCACAGGAGACAGCACTCAAAGATCTCTTAATACCTGAAGGGAGTCAGTCATCACGTAGGAATGGTGAGGCTTGTTTATCCACCCAGATGTTAAGTTATATCTAAAGAGGATTATTTGAGGCAAGGATGAAGTCTGAAGCTAGACATGAGGAAGAACTTCCTGAGAGGTGAGATTTCCTCACCCCTAGCATCCCAGGAGGGTTTGCCCTCTCTTTATTTGGAAATGTTTTTTAAGTGTGTGAAAGTTTTTATTTCTTGGACAGGGTGAGTGCAGGTTTTTGGAAAGGTGGGTGGCCTCCCAGAAAATTCATACTGCTCAATGATTCAGAATCTTCAGCCACAGCTCCTAACAGCCATGAAGTTTGAGCCTAGAATTATGTATTTGTTTGTTTGTAAGTCCCAAAGTTTCCATACAATGAAAGTAATGAGAGCTGGAATGGTCCCAAGAAGTCACTTAGTCCTGTCTTCTCATCACACAGATGAGAGACTGACAGGCTCTGAGAAACTGACCCATGATCCCACTTTACAGACCCTGCCTCTCCTACAACTTCAAGTTCACCATGCATTCTAAATGAATTATGAATAATTTAGATTAATGATGAGTAATTAATTAAGCAGCAATACTCAAGAGTAAAATCTGAAGTGCATATATGAAAGAAACCTATCTCATATGGACCATATTATGTAATAATCCTGGTTTTGACTGATTGGCTAGGATCTGCCTGCCCAGCCAAGGTGTCAGGGGAGGGTAAAGAGGGAGAGGGGATACAAACATGTGAACTACACACAGTTCTTACCTTACACACTTCTCTCACTGGTTGGCAAGGTAACATGTAAACACATGAAAAATTAAATCAAGTTATAAAAGAAACCTATAAGTTCAGGGCAGCAATAGTAGGTTTATATGGTGGCCCTTCATAATTATTGTCCTACATAGAAATTGACTGACGGGAGTAGAATCAGAAGCCATGAATTCCAGCTGGGTTGGTCCCAAAGAAAGGCTATGCACAGTAGGTGGGGCTGGAGCTAGCCCCAGGTGGGTAGAAGAATGAGATCCGCATAGGCAAGAGAGTGATGGTTCAACACACAGAACCCCACGCACGTTGAGCCCTGCTGACTTCTGACTTCTCTCTCTCTCTCAGGAGGATCTGCTGCTTAACATTCTGACCTTATCTCTGGGATAGCAGAATGACAGGGTAGGAAAGTTTCTTTTCACTCCCTCAAGGGAGGTTAATCATCCATCTGTAATGTCTGCACTTGGTTGACACTGGCCCGCCCTACCGTCTTCCACCGGAACCATTCAACTGAATGCACCATTTTTTTCTTGACATTCTCATTTGTGTGTGTGTGTGTGTGTGTGTGTGTGTGTGTGTGTGTGTGTGTGTGTACGCGCGTGAGAGCTTTGTCACTGGCATAAACAGCCCACACTGGGCATGGTTCCATCCACAGTGTTTGAAGTTTACTTTCCAGCTTCTGGGCATCATTTGCAATTATAATGCTGTCATAGGCAGAAAAGAGATAGGATAATTAATCATTGTCAATATTGGTCCCCATTTGCCAGATGAGTTTTTGGAACAGCATGGCTGGGAATAATTTGTATAAATTGTATTTCTTTGCTTTGTGTCACTGAAAACATTTATTTAGCATCATGGTCACTGTGCATAAATATCCTGGAAGCAATGGGGTATAGCTGAATGGCACAGATTCATTCATTCATATTCATCAAATGATGCACTGAGCACCTACTTCAATATGTGAACAGCACTGAACGCAGAATACTGGGCTGCTGGGGACCTTTAATAGGTTCCTTGGCTCCCTGGACTTGGCCAAGACCCTTCTGGTCAGCTGCAGATAGGCAGAATGGATGGTTTTGCTTCTAGAGACTGTAACTGGGACATTCAGCATTTTCTAATTCCTTGCAATTTCACTAGTCAGGTGGCTTTCTAATGGGTACCCAGAGCCTTGTGATTACTCAGATTGATGGTTCACCCAACAGGACTTTGCATTCAGGAGCTGATAATCTCTAGCTGAGATTAATCTGTGTGGCAGCAGAACGTGTCTCTACTTAAAGGAAAAGGGATGAAGGGTGATATCTGTGGTCACAAATAATATATTTTCAAATAGCTTTTGACAAAAGGTCTGAGTGGATTTTGCAATTTAAGAAAAATCTACACATTAATTCTTAAGTAGTCCTATGAGTGTACTCAAGTCGGCTCAAAGAGTCAACATTTGCCCTGGGATGCCTGTGTGTTGCTGGCCAACACCCAATCCAGGGGAGACATGCCAAGGACCATCCGGGAAGAAAAGGAAGCTGAGCCCAGCAGCTGAGTCTTGAGTTTTCTTCTGTAGAGAGGGTGACCAGCATCTCAGGCTCATCAAAGCATCCCACACTCTTTTCCCTGCGTCCAAGTCATCAGATTCATTTTGGATTCCCAATTTGCAAAAATTGTGTTCTCTATCGATACTGACCAGAGGACCCCGGCTTCACCTGTCATCCAGGAGAGAAAGCCTGGACTTGTGCTTGTAAACCAAAGCTTGCCATCTCCTTTTAGTTTCTCTATGCCTAACTATGCTTAACCTTCCCCCTTAAAGTGAATATGCATGGGACCAGGACCCTTTCCTCAAATACTAACAACAGCAAATGCTGCAGAAAGTCAGTCCATATAAAATAATTCAAATACAGTTCAGAGAATGGGGTTGGGAGGCAATTACTTTTTCCAGACCATTCACAGTTCAGTGATGCAGGTATAACGGGCCTTGGGTGAAGAACTGTAATATCTGTAACATCCGCCTTTCACAATATTAACATGCCACGGACACAAAGTAACTGATCACTGAAAGGAGTACAGCTGCCCACAACAGTTTGTGGCTAAAGACAATATCTGAGAGAGGACAGGTGTGGAGGCCCAAGTGCAGGGAACAGGCAAAGGTCATCGTGGGAGTCTCCTCTGAGGGCACAGGGTCTTTAAACACAGGGACTGTTTCAGAAGTGACCCTTCTGGAGCCATCAGTCATGCCACCAGAAGATTTAAACATCTTCACAAGCAGCTTGTTACCTCTGGATATGTCTTATAAATCACACCAAACTGACGAGTTGTAACAATAAGCAGACACTGATTTCTGTGCTGTCCACACCCCATCTCCATGAGTGATGCTTCACTGCTCCTGGCCACCTCCAGCTGGCAATCCCCAGCACATGTATCCCACACGGTCAGCACCTTGTATGTGCTTCCTCAGTTGCTCACAGCAGTTTCCTGCCTACACACCTTGTCTCCCCAACATGCTGGAGGCCCCTCGGAGACACAGCCAAGCTCAGACATTCCTCTACCCGTGGTAGAACCCTCCCCCACCCCCATATCAATAATCCTTTCGGAGTGAGCCTGGGACTGTAAAATGAGTGCGGCTGAAATGTCTCTACTACTCCTGATTTGTTACAGCTGGGGAGCGGCAAAGAGCACTGCCAAAAGTCCCCCGTGGGAAATGGACAGGACCTACAAGAGAAGGAAGTGAATCACAGAGGGGATCAGGACGCTCTGAAGAACATGCTGGGCTCAGTCCAGAACTCTGCCGCTCACGGGCCTCCTCGCCACTGGAGGAAACTGAAGGGCTGGAGCAGGTGGGGAAAAGCCCTTCTCAGCTTCTGGAGAAGACCCTGCCCAAGAGGGTCCAGGGAGGCTGGTCTTCTCCAAAGGCTGCTCACCTCGCTGAGGTTTCTCGAAAATACAGGCGCTTGGATCCCTGCTCGGACCAGGCGGCCATTCACCACTTAGGACCAGTGTCTGACCACTCACTAGACCTCCCCCCGGGTTCCCTTTTCACTCTCGTTTCTCCCCATGGGTTGGTCTCAGGCAGTCTCAAATACGGATCGGGATTAGGGTGTCCATGCAAATCCCAAGTCCACCAAAGTGGGAAAGAAGAAATAGGCAAATGCCACCACCAAGACGTTCAGGACTGACTTTCCAGACGGCACCAAAGTCAGAGCAGGGGGGTGGGATAAGTTTTGCCCCCGTGGGTTGGCCATCTCCTGAAGGCACCTCTGGGTCAGGACAGCTTCTCTAAGCCACCCGCCCCGGAGCCCCACTCTGAGACCCAGGAAAGGCCAGACCAGAGGAAAGCCCCCAAGTGACTGCGGTTGGGTCACAGGTGAGCCCTCTCCTCAGAGCCTCTTCAAGGCTCAGGGACAAGCCTGTCTGGAAAAGCAAACAGGCCAGGCCCGGGCTGCGCCCTTTGGACCTTTTGCAACTCCCGGAGCTCTTTCAGCTCGGGCCTC